CCATGCCTGGCTAATTTTGTATTTTTGGTAGAGACGGCGTTTCACCATGTTGGTCAGGCTGGTCTCGATATTCTGACCTCAAGTGATCCGCCCACCTTGGCCTCCCAAAGTGCTGGGATTACAGGCATGAGCCACTGCGCCCGGCCTGATGTGCTTCATTTGTCATCCTCAACACAGCACAGTCCTGAGAGTTCCTGTGTATCTTCCATTTCTACGTTTCCTTCCATCTAGTTTAATATAGTTAATTAACTCAATAATAACTTTCTACCTTTGTCTACATCCTCTCAAAGTTGATTATGATTTGTAGAGTCCAGCATCTCAACTTCCAAGTGGAGTCTTCTTTCGGGGGCTGGTGAATTCAGATTTGCAGTTCCCAGCCCAGATACCACCTTCCAGTACCCTAAACCGACCGTGGCAGCTTTCCTTCAAGGAGTCCGTGGTTGACTCCAGCCAGCCTACCCTGAGAGTCAGGCCATCCTCTCTGAGCCACCGTGTAAGATGAAATGGCCAGTCACCAGCCTCAGATGGCCTGGCATCTCTGCTCCTGGCCTCTGGGCTGATGTGAGATGCATGCGTGCCCCGGTTTTCTCTCTGGATGGACTGTCTGTCCTCTGCTGGTGAGTGCCCAGCCTTGCCCAGCCTTGCCCCTGCCTCTGAATTGGCCCCACTGTGGCACAGTTTCTGATCCTTTCTCCAGTGGCTTTCCGCCCATTGTTCTTCCTCCTGGTTCTGACCTTGGTGTTTTGAGTTTTCTGTCTACACCAAGAGGTCTGTCCTCAGGGGTCACCAGGGACCCTGAAGCATCTTGTCCCTCTGTGGCTGGTGTAGGGGAACCTGCCAGGGTTCTGTATTTCTCTCCCAGAATGTCCCCAACCAATATGCTTGTGCCTTCATGTAATAGAGTTTCTCCTCCTGCCCTTCTTCCTGTTGAGAATTCCTGCACGCTGTTCCCTTGAGCCTGGTTTGACTCCATGTGGCACCCTCTAAGTCACTTTAGTTAGGGGGAGGTCTGTGCTGTGACACTCAGGCTCACCCACCTTCCCATGGTTGGTCAGGGAGAGAGCAGCTCTTCTCATCCTCTGCCCTGAGGACCCTCAGTTTCATTCCTCTGCGCTGAACTGAAATTGTATGCTCTGTGGTTTTTGTTGTGCCATTTCTTCTATCAGTAGACATCTTACTTGATAAACCTGTGACCCCTTCACCTGCTGGAGTGTGGATGGTGTCAGGCAATTAAAAGTAGACTGTTCACTTGTAATCCCAGCTACTCGGGAGGCTGAGGCAGGAGAATCACTTGAACCCAGGAGGTGGAGGTTGCAGTGAGCCAAGATCACACCGCTGCACTACAGCCTGGGCGATAGAGTGAGACTCTGTCTTTAAAAAAAAAAAAAAAAGATGGACAGCCTGTTTTTCGGAAGCCACTGGGATCTTGCTTTGGCCTCCTTGCCACTCTCCCTGTCCCAGCAGCTCCCTCAATATACTTGGCCAAGTTTCCTTGTCCCTGAGACAGAGGCTTCCAATGCTTGCACATCGATTTTAGAACTTTATCCAGCTGTCTCTCTGCATCAGGTGTTAGAAACAAATTTTCGGTGCTGCAGAAGAAATAGCACTTGAACACAAATTTTTTCAGCAAGGCAATTCATCTCTATAGAAGTGTGCATCTCACGGATGGAGCAGTGGCAAGTGCACACCTGAACAAGGGAGAGGAAGGGGTGCTTATCCCTGACGCAGGTAGCCACTACTGCTGTGTTGTTCCCCTGTTGGCTAGGGTTGGACCACACAGTCTAAGCTAATTCAGTTTGGCTATTTTAAAGAGAGCAGGAATAGAAGCGAGAGTGGCGTGGTGAGCAGTTTCGGTGGGAAAGAGAGTTATGGAACAGGTGGACTATAGGTGACTCAGGTCAGAGTAGGTGACCTGGGGTGACTCAGGATGGAGCAGGTGACCAGGATGAGTCCAGACTCTAAATATGTGGGTCAAGAGGGAGAGGCACAGGGGGACGTGTGGTTTTGGTGAGAGGAATAGGTGCAGGTAGCTAGGGGACAGATGTCAACTACTGATCAGAATTGGCGGGAAGAGTTGGCAGGAAGTTTGTTTACTGAAACAGCGGGCAAGGAGAGGAAGAGAACGAGGAAGTTAAACTTTAAAATGGAGAACAAAGAACAAGGAAACTGAACATACTGACATACCAATTCTTTGAAGAGAAACTTAGCACTCGCTGTAGTTAACATCAGGTAACTGCCATTCAGCAGTTAAAAGACAGCAGCCCACTTCCCCACCCTGGCTCCATCCCTTGCATCCAGCATGTGGGTTTGTTTGGCAGTTCTTCTAAAATTACGTTGGCTGAGCTTGGTGGCTTATGCCAGTAACCCGAGTACTTTGGGTGGCTCAGGGAGTAGGGTCACTTGAGGCTAGGAGTTGGACACCAGCCTGGGCAACCTAGCAAGACCCCATCTCTAAAAAAGTTATTACACGAAATGGAATTATGGTCACCTGAGCTTAATCACTTATAACAAAGACAAATTTATTGGTCTTCAAATCTAAAGGGGATTCACCAAGATGCTGCCAAGGAAAGAACATATTTATTCCCACTTCCTGCATAGTATTAAAACACTTGAAATGTTGTTATTCCAAGAGTTATTCCAAGACTGTTATTCAAATACAGTCATATCTGTGTGTTCATGGGGTATCGGCTCCGGGACCCTCCAGAATACTGAGATCCTCAGATGTTCAAGTTCTTTATATGGTACAGCATAGTATTTACATATAACCCTCACACGTTCTCCCGTATACCTTAAGTCATCCCTAGATTACTCACCTCATGCAGTGTATATGCACTATTTTCTTATTTGTATTTTTTAAATTGTTGTATTGTTACAGAGGGCTGGGTGTATATTCTTTCTTAACGTGTGATATTGATTAATACTTGTCCAGAGTGCTTAAGATACTGTGTTTTGCAGACAAGGATTCTCATTACCACAAATAATAATCAGTGATGATGATGATGATGATTTACTAAGGGACTGGTAACTCACTGGCCAGCAGGCCCCTCCCCTGGCTCTCAGTTCTTGTTCCCCTCCCCGCTTCCCTGCTCATCAGCCAGTTCCCAGGTACCGTTTGACTCCGCAGTGACTCAAGTGAGCTGCCAGAGAACAGCCACTGTCCACCCAGGCTGCCCTGTAGTTCCCTGATCGCTGCTGGTCATTTGCTTCCAAGGCCTAGAAAGCCACCTTCTTTTTCTAACATCCAGCTTTTGATGCTATCCATCCCTGAGCGCCATATTTTTTTCGATGCCAGAATACTCACCCCTCAGACATCTTCCTGGTTCTTAGCAAAACACTTGACCTTTTTACCTCCAGTTTTCACCTGATTTTTCACCAGACAGCTTCAGTCTTATCTACATTTTAATAGTTTTCCCATCTGAGACAGAAAGGTTATTAAAGAATGGTTTCCTACTCCATGGAATTTTACTTGGAATTTATAGGTTGAAGCCCAGGTTCCTGATGTGCCCTCTGATAAGCAGGAGTTCAAAAAATAGAATTTTATGTGTAGACCTATTTCCTAATGCCCCTTGAAGGAGACATCTGCGGTGTCTCCCCTTATATCTCTAGTTCCTGGGTTAGTTCGGGAAAAAAACTCTGATTTAAATCTAATGATGATGTTACTGGTACTCTACAGATAAAAATCTCATCATTTTAAAAGTGCTCTCCACAGTGGAAGGGTCATAGGGTTGTAATTCATGACATCTGCTAGACCCTTTTGTTCTAGATTGTAAAAGGTCTTTTTTAAAATCTCTCTTGGCTCTTTAACATTTTGAACAGGATTACATGCAGAATGTTCACGGTAAGGAGATTGACCTTCTGAGAACCACTGTGAAAGTCCCAGGGAAGAGGCCGCCCCGAGCCACGTCAGCCTGCGCTCCCATCTCCAGCCCTAAAACCAATGGCCTATCCAAGGACATGAGCAGTTTACACATCTCACCCAATTCAGGTAAGCTTCCAGCAAACGCACTAACAGATCCACTTCAATAGCAACAGATGGTACAGGCTTGAGGACAATGTTGGACTCTTAGGTAAAGCGGAGACAGTAACTATCACGTTACAGATTAAGGTTTGGAAACCTTATCACTTCTGTGGCTGATCTTTTCCTTTAAACTTTCAGTTCCACAAATGCCAGCCAGCAAATGGTGCTTTGAGTCACAGCTGCAAAAACATGCGTCTGGGCCTTCCCAGGGCTGCGTGGTGGGAAGTGAAGTTTCACGTGTGAACTGGGTATCTAAGGGCCTTCTGAAAAATATGAATTAATGTTAAAATGTCAAAGATTAATTCATTTCTGTTAACTGTGTGTCTGAAAGTGGAAAAACCATTTGGAGCAAGATTCAGAGGAAACCGTTTGACCTACATAAAATGCAAACTTCATGTTATTATATTTTAATTATCATCTGCCATTCTTTAATGTGACTTAAGTTCTCTGTATTCTCTTTTAAAGGAGAAAATTTTTTTCAATCAGGATCAGAGAAAGCTAGTATTTTCTCAAATGTTGATGTGTTTAGAAATTCCTGGCCTCTGTGCCCAGTTGCAAGTCGTTCATAATGACATTGTTCATTTTATTTAAGTTTTTGCAAATCATTGCTCTGTGGCCTGAACCTTCCCATGCCTGCTCGTCAGAGAAAAGGTGATGATCCTCTCGAGTCCTCCCACACACACTCAGGCTCCTTCAACATACGGGTATCCCTTCAAGAATTTTGCATTTTCTCCAGCAGAAAGTCTCTTTCTTCTCTCCCACCTACATCCAGTCTTCTTAAAACAGAATTCTGGCCGGGCGCAGTGGCTCGCACCTATAATCCCAGCACTTTGGGAGGGCGAGGCGGGCAGATCACCTGAGTTCAGGAGTTCAAGACCAGCCTTGCCAACCTGGTGAAACCCCGTCTCTACTAAAAATACAAAAATTGGCTGGGCATGGTAGTTCAGGCCTATAATCCCAGCACTTTGGGAGGCCGAGGCGGGTGGATCACAAGGTCAGGATATCAACGCTATCCTGGCCAACATGGTGAAACCCTGTCTCTACTAAAAATGTAAAAATTAGCTGGGCATGGTGGCACAGGTCTGTATTTCCAGCTACTTGGGAGGCTGAGGCAGGAGAATATCTTGAACCTAGGAGGTGGAGGTTGCAGTGAGTTGAGATTGTACCACTGCACTCCAGCCTAGCGACAAAGGGAGACTCCATCTCAAAAAAAAAAAGAAAACTAAAAACAGATTTCTGTTGTGCTAGAGTTTCTGGCCTTTAATGCTGTAGTTTCCTCTTCTGAAACATTAAGTGCTTTTCAAGAGGGATGGTGCTGACCGCCCGGTTCTGTGGCATGAACGACACTGGTTGGTGAGAGCAAGATGATACAGAGGAGTTGAGATTTGGGTCCTCCATCCTGGGCTCCTCC